CTATTAGTATAGTACGAAAAATATATAAAGTTTGAATACCAAAAACTACATTTTTTTAAATATTTTGTTTTTAAAACATTATCTAAACATTTATTTTCTGTAATTTCATTTTATTCATGTTAATATAAATTTTAAATTTTCTTAATGACTATAATATTGAATGTGTATAATATGGATTTATATTTATATTGTTATTTTTTTTTTTTGTGATTTTTAAAAAGTGTTAAATTGCTCATGATCATTGATTTGAATATATATAAAAGGAATCTATCCTATTTATTTTTATTAAACATTGAATCTAGTACTACCTAGAAACTAATATAGACTTAAAATTAATTAAATCTATTTAGCTTCAGCAGCTAATTTTTCAGCTTTAGCAACAACATCTTCAATACCACCAACCATATAGAATGCATTTTCTGGTAAATGATCATATTTACCTTCTAAGACATCTTTGAATGAAGTAATGGTATCTTTTAATCTAACTAATCTACCTGGAATACCTGTGAAAACTTCAGCAACAGCAAATGGTTGTGATAAGAATCTTTGGATTTTTCTTGCTCTTTCAACAGTTAATTTATCTTGTTCAGATAATTCATCCATACCTAAAATAGCAATAATATCTTGTAAAGATTTATAAGCTTGTAAAGTTTGTTGAACATTAGTAGCAACATCATAATGTTCTTGACCAACAACTGAAGCATCTAATAATCTTGATTTAGAATCTAAAGGATCGACAGCTGGATAAATACCTAATTCTGAAATACCACGAGATAAGACAGTAGTAGCATCTAAATGGGCAAAAGTAGTAGCTGGAGCAGGATCTGTTAAATCATCCGCTGGGACATAAACAGCTTGGACAGAAGTAACTGAACCTTTTTGAGTAGTAGTAATACGTTCTTGTAAAAGACCCATATCAGTGGCTAAAGTTGGTTGATAACCGACAGCTGATGGAATACGACCTAATAAAGCTGAAACTTCTGAACCAGCTTGAGTAAATCTGAAAATATTATCAACGAATAACAAGACATCTTGACCTTCTTCATCTCTGAAATATTCAGCAATGGTTAAACCAGTTAAAGCAACACGAGCTCTAGCACCTGGTGGTTCATTCATTTGACCGAAAACTAAAGCGACTTTAGAATCACCTTCTAAATTAATAACACCAGTTTCTTTCATTTCACGGTATAAATCATTACCTTCTCTGGTACGTTCACCAACACCGGTGAAAACAGAGAAACCACCATGAGCTTTAGCAATGTTATTAATCAATTCTTGAATGAAAACGGTTTTACCAACACCAGCACCACCGAATAAACCAATTTTACCACCTCTAGCATAAGGAGCTAATAAATCGACAACTTTAATACCAGTTTCTAAAACTTCAGCAGCAGTTGATTGTTCATCGAAAGTTGGTGGTTCAGCATGAATTGGGTTTCTTTGTTTAGTGTTAATTGGACCACGTTCATCAATTGGTTCACCAACAACGTTAATGATACGACCTAAAGTTTCACGACCAACTGGGACAGTGATTGGAGAACCGGTATCAGAAACAGCTTCACCACGAACTAAACCTTCAGTACCATCCATAGCAATAGTTCTAACAGTGTTTTCACCTAAATGTTGAGCAACTTCTAAAACTAATGGAGCACCATTTGGGTTTTTAATTTCTAAAGCATTTAAGATAGCTGGTAAGTTACCTTGATCGAATTGAACATCGACAATAGCACCGATAACAGCTCTATAAGAACATCTTGTTAGTATATAATTCAATTGTGTTTCTTGTTGTTAATATAATGGGAAGTTTTTTTTTCCTCCCAAGGGGTGTTGTTTTTTTTCCCGACGAATGAAAAAAAATCCTCGAAATCTCTGAATCGTGATTGAACGATGGGAGGACAAACAACAAAGATTCCAACAATAACAAGTCAATTGATTGGGAAATTGATTGGATTGAAATGATAATTAGATTGTTCTATTCAATTGAATCATGATGATTTGTTTTCCCATTAGAATTGGATGTTTTTTTGTTGATTTATTGTAGTTGAAAAAACACCCTTTTGACCCCTGATCTCGACAAACCCAAAAAGACACGGTTCAAAGACCAACAAGAATCAATTGATTAATCTAATCAATTGAGATGGATTCAATTGCCATTGATTCAATTGATTGAATTGTTTTACCCTTTTGAAAATTCTTCTCATTATATTAAAACTTTCTTGATGTTTTATTGATTTGATACTCACCTAACTTTACCAGCTGAAGCTGGAGCAGTAGCTAAACCTCTGTTGAAAATCAATTGAGATTTAGCAGCTTTGAAAGCAGCTTTTGAAGCAGAGTTATATAATCTTGGTAAGACCATTATTAATAACTAATATAGATTAATAAAACAAATTAAGCTATACTTGTCCTTGAAGTTGTTAAAATTATTGGTGAAGTTAAGATTTCAGGAGAAAAAGAGTTTTTTTTAAAGGGGAATTCGAGGATTTGGAAAATGTTGGACGGTGTCAAAATTGCAGCGATTGATTGGCTGGTGAGCGATTCGCGGATGGCGGGAGGGTAAATGGGGTGACTGGGTGTTATGTCAGCGCTGAGTAATCACAATAACCATTGGAACTTTTAGTTACACTACTACAAATTTATGAAGAATAGTAACTATGTATATGTCTGTGAAGGTTAGTTCTAGAAATACATCAATATATAGCGACTACGCCGCTATATATTGCTACCTATTGCTACTTATTTCTTACCCAATTCACTTGCCCTCTTTGCAGCAGCTTGAACACCTTTAATAATCCCACTCTTAACACCATGACTATCCATTTCAACACATCCAGCAATTGTAGTTCCACCAGGAGTACAAACTTTATGTTTTAATTCACCTGGATGAGTACCACTGATTTCAGCCATTTTTGCAGTACCCTCCATAACTTTAATTGAACATTCAAGTGATTCTTTGAAAGGAATACCTAAACTTAATCCACTTTCAACTAAACCTTCCAACATTGTTAAGACAAATGCTGGTCCACTACCAACAAGGGCAGTTGCTGCATCCATGTTTTTCTCTGGTAATTCAACAACTTTACCAATTGGTGTAACTAATGCTTTGATTAATTCACGTTCATCTTCATTAACATCTAATGAATTTGATATAACTGCTGTACCATATTGATATTTTGCTGGAGTATTTGTCATAACTCTACTGATTTTAGATGAATAAGTTTCAAATTGTTCAATTGTCCAACCAGCAACCATTGAAATTAATAATTTACCTTTTAATTGATCTTTTATTGGTTCTAATGCAGATTCTGTAACATAAGGTTTAGTACCAATAATAACAACTTGTGAATTTAATACAGCTTCATTATTTGATTCTTCACCATAACTAGTTTCAAATGGGATTGGACTATCTTTATATTGGGTTACTAATGCCTGTGCACTTGATTCTGATCTAACACAAGCAATGATTTTAGTTGGTGGTAATTCTGGATTTTCTGATGATAAATAAGCTGATAATAAAGCTTGACCAATTGTACCGGCACCTAAAACGGCCAAAGTGTATGGTTTACCTTTCTCGTAAGACATCTTGAAATAAGTAATGAAGAGAAATGATTAGAATAATATAAATATCAATTGAACAACTCAAAAAACAGAGATGATATAAGTCTAAACAATTCAATTAAAATTATTGATAATTCGTTGATAAGTGAAAAAGATCATTGGTTCGCGAATTGGAAATATATGGAGAATCGTCCACTAAGTAATAAAATAAGCGAGAAAACCAGGGAAAAGTAAGAGAGAGCATGGTATATTGAACTCAAGATAATCACATTCAATATCAACTACTATCTCTAAGTGTTTTCTATCTCAACACCTTATTATCTACCAATATTCATTCCTTGACTTCCCAATCAGGCAACCAAATGGCAATGACTTCCAAATATCTGTCGTAATGTGTCACAAATCAAATTCACCTTTTTCTCGAAATTACGCACAGATGCTCAAAATTGGATTTTAATTAACACAGAACAACGTCAAAGAAAAGAATAATTACGGAAGACATATTGGCTATTTTCATATTGGATTTGCTACTTAGGCTCGCTTTGCTTTATTGTTACTACTCTTAATTGGCTTTTGTGGTTATTAGCTGTGGTCTTATAGGCTGTTTTATTGGGTATTCGGGTAAGCTGCTATTTTTTTGCTGGGGATCTACAGTGTTAAGTGTCAAGTGAATATTGAGAAAAGGTGATTTTTGAGGTCAACGCTTTTGTTTGAACAAAACATAGTAATATTATATTTGAAATAAGGCCATCATAATGGGGTTGAAATACGTTCCTACACTTTATCCATCAGATGAAGAATTTCAAAATTTTATTGAATATTTAAGTTCACCCAAAATTAAAGCATTAGGTGATGAATATGGTATGGTCAAGATAAGTCCTCCATCAAGTTTTAAACCTCCTTTAAGTATAAATCAAGAGAAATTTAAATTCACACCAAGAATTCAAAAATTAAAAGAATTGAATATAACTAATCGGTGTCGATTGTTTTTCTATAAACAATTGTTCAATTTTAATAAAATGAATAAAAAATCATTACCAAAAGATACATTTATCTTGGTGAATAATGATTCAAAGAAACTTTTTTATTATGATTTTTTCATTGAAGTTATTAAATTTTATAAACAAAAACAACATGGTTCCATTTCGGGGAAAACTTTACCAAATATAAAGTCTTCTATATTGAATTCTGATGAATCATTATGGTCATACTTGAGTTATCAGTTCCAAATTGATATTGAAACTCTCAAAACAATATATCAAACAAAATTATCATCATATTTTAATTTCCTAAGTGCAAAACCTGAATTTACAAATCAATTAATTCAAGAAAAATATCCATCTTCATTATTATATGATCAAAGTGATGAAGAAGATTCAAATTCTTCAGATAATGAAACAGATGAAGATGCATGTCTTATTTGTAAAACCAATTCCCATCCTCAGGATACATTATTATGTGATTCTTGTGATAAACCATTCCATAGATATTGTTTATCCCCACCATTAAGTAAAATTCCACAAGATAATTGGTATTGTGATAATTGTGTTATAGGGAATGGTTATTATGGTTTCAAAGATTCTACAATTCAATACTCTTTAAAAGATTTTAAACAATTAAGTGATGATTTTGATAATTCTTATTTCCCCAATGATTCAAAACCAAAATCTATTGATCTTTTAGAAAAACAATTTTGGTCATTAGTTGATGATATTGATAATGATTTAAAAGTTAATTATGGTGCAGATATTCATAATCTAAGGAAAGGTGAAATATCTGGATTCCCTACTAGAGATTATAAACCAACAAATATAAAATCACAAGAACAATATGATCATTATGTTTCACATCCAATGAATTTAAATAATTTACCATATAATTCTAAATCATTATTAAATTTCTTAGATGTTGATATCTCAGGGATGACAATACCATGGATTTATATTGGTAATACATTTAGTACTTTTTGTTGGCATGTTGAAGATCAATATACTCTTAGTGCAAATTATCAACATTTAGGTTCTACAAAAAAATGGTATTCAATCCCATCAAAACATGCAGAACTTTTTGAAAATTATATGAAAAATTTAGCACCTGATTTATTTGCTAAACAACCTGATATCTTACATCAATTGATTACATTAGTTTCACCATTTGAATTGAATCAAGTTGGGATTGATTGTTTTAGTGCAGACCAAGAACCTGGGGAATATATCATAACGTATCCAAGAGTTTATCATGCGGGTTTCAATGCAGGTTTTAATTTTAATGAAGCTGTTAATTTTACAATGAATGATTGGTTAGATTTTGGTGTTGAATCAACAAAAAATTATAAAAAAAATTTAGATAAAGTTTCAGTTTTCGATATTTATGAAATGATTTTAAATATTTTGAATCATGCTAATTTAAATAACAAATTTGATAAAGGATTAGTCTTGAAAGCATTGGAATTTTTGAAACCTAGATTAACAGATGAAGTATCTTTACAATCAACAATAATGGAAAAATTAGATTCAAAACCAATAATACCCAAAAATATAAGAACAATACCAATCGAAATACATGGTGAAGATATTGAAGAAGATGGTATCTTATGTTCACAATGTAAAGGGTTTTGTACTTTCAGTTATATATTACATTATGAACCAATTCCAAATCATGCAGAATCTATTCAATTACCAACACCAAGATCTTCACCAGAAAATTTAACAGATTCTTCCAAACAAAGAAGATCATCAAAAAGAATAAAATTATTAAAAGATCAAGAATATTATAAACCTGTGATACTTTGTCTTGAAGATTATTTGAAGAAAGATAATGTTGTTTCTGAAAAAGATCAAATTTATTTGATTAGAGATGTTGAAAAGTGTAAGACATTGATTAATGATGTTCAATTGAAGTTGAATAGTGTGGGTGCTCATTGAATTTATATTGATTGTCTCGACTATATATGTAGCTGAAGCTTATAAAACCATGGTACAACAACTATAGAATAACGTTTAACCTATTACCATGGAATTTGTCTGCAGTTTCATCAGTCGACGCATAACACAATACCCTTAATACCAGTCTACGGTAGATCGTTCCTTGAACCACTAAAATTCCTATGAAATGGATCTAATCAACTAATTTTAAAATCCATAAATCCCACTAAATCCATATTCCCTTAAAATCCCATACCGGTTAAATGCTTGAATGAACTTTTATTTAACCGAATCGTTAACTATGGTGTTCGCGAATTCCACGGATTTAATGGTTTTCAATGATTTATACCAATTGAACAAGTATAAAAGAAGTTCAAAATCACATATTTTCAGATCAATTGATTTGTGTTATGTTCATCATACAATAGGATAATACAATCAATCAATCAACTACACAATATGTCAGCTCAAGAAATCATCAATGAAATCAATAAAGTTAAATTTGGTTTAGGTCTTATGAGTTTTACATGGAGACCAGATCCATATCCACAATCATCATTTAATGAATCAGTTTTAGCAGCAATTGAAAAAAATTTACCAAATAAAACATTTGTTAATGGTGGTGAATTTTATGGTGCTGATTATTTGAATTTAAGATATATTCAAAGTTTTTTAGAAACTTATCCTGAACAACGTGAAAATTTAATCATTTCAATTAAAGGTTCAGTTGATTTAGCCAATTTAAGACCATTAGGTGATCGTGAAAATTTAAATAAATCAATTGATAAAGTTCTTGAATTCATTCCAGATTTAGATATTTTTGAAATCCCAAGAATTGATCCAACAGTTACTTTAGAAGAAACTATTACAACATTAAATGATGCAGTTGATAATGGTAAAATTAAGGCAATTTCAGTTTCTGAAGTTAATGCAACTACATTAGGTAAAATTGCTCAAATTTCTAAACATCCAATTGCAGTTGTTGAAATTGAATTTTCTATATTTTCAAGAGATATTTTGGAAAATGGTTTAGCTGCAAAAGCTGGTGAATTAGGTATTCCAATTGTTGCTTATTCACCATTATCAAGAGGTTTATTAACTGGTGAAATTAAAGATTTATCCAAAATTCCAAAAGGTGATATTAGATTACATTTTGATAGATTTAAAGAAGAAAATTTCATTAAAAATCAACAAATTGTGGAATTTATTACCCAGGCTGCAAAGGAAAAGAACGTTACACCTGCACAATTTTCATTAGCTTGGATTAGATATCAAAGTGGTAAAACTATTGATGAAATTAAATTACCAAAAATTATTGATATTCCAAGTACTTCATCAGCTAAAAGAGTCCAGGAAAATTTTTCAAATGTTGTTTTAACTGATGATGAATTTAATAAAGTTCAAAGTTTTATTAAAAATGTTACTGTTCATGGGGGTAGATATAATGAACATGCTGAAAAATTCTTGTTTCAATAAGTATCATGTTTGTTTAACGTTTATCTTTTTTTTATTAGCTGGAACTATATATAGATATATTTAATTAAAATGATCATACTTTACCTTAGATGTAGTGGTACTGATCGGAGCCTTTAAAGAGCTGGGAAACATAATAACAAGTCACCTTTTTCCGTAAAATATTCTCAGTTTACCCATAAATTCATCTTCTGATCAGCCCTTTATCCTTTCTTTTTCTCTAGTATAAATCAATAGTTGTGTAAAAGTGTTGATTTTGATCTATTTTGATATCGATGGTTATATACTTTTAATACCGAGCCAGAAAAAAAATCAAAATTTGAACCTTTTATAAGCAGATCAACAACATCAACAACATCAAAAAGACCAATTAACCACAGCAAGATCATATTACAACTACACACAGTATTTGAGCTCATCAACAACAAACCCACATCCAAATACTTTTTCAAAATGGCTGGTTATTCAATCTATTTACGTGTCATAATTTTTTCATTCATAATCTATAAATTGATCCAAGATCCAAGAGAACTAGGACGTCAAATATCTTCATACACAGTGAGTTATACCCCTAATAATCCCTCATACAGACTACTAACAACACCTCCCAAACAGAAGAGTAAAATCATTTTTACAGAATCAGAATCTTCATTATTTGCAACATTATTAATAATATTAGGACTAAGTGATTATTTACCATATTTAGAAGATAATCAAGATTATTTTGATTCAATTGTTCCAGTTAGATTTCTTTTAGGTCTTGGATTAACACTAGGATCATATTTAGAATTAGTTTCTATCTTATCAAGTCCTTTGGTTTTTTGGTTTGGAGTTTTGGAAATTTTGACTAATGGATTGATGTTGATTGATGTTTAGACAGGGAAACTCAATCAATTTTGATGGTTTTAAAACAGGAGAACAACAGGAGTGTGGCTATAATTTATGAGAATCTGAATATCTAATTTATATAAACAATATCTTTATATTTTCCTGTATATTTATTGGAAATTTGTAGTTGTTGATTTGTACTCGGATACGCGTCAGTGGTTCATAACCCGCGTTTTTCTTCTATATAAAAGTTTATATTTGATCTGAACAAAAAATCAAAAGAACATCACCAACAAAATAGACCACAACTATCCCATAAACAAAGGTTCAATATGATCTTTATATCTTCTAAAACTGCAAATTACTTAAGATGCTGCTTTCTTTTCACCCTTTCATTCTATATGATTAAAGATCCACAAACTATAACTGATCAACCATTATTAATATTATTTGGTCAAGCAATGAATGTTGAAAGAGGTGTTATAAACGATTTAAATGAAAAAACTTTAGGTCTTGTTTCGTTATTATTCTTTTCATTAGGGCTTATTGATTTCATGCAATTATTAGTTGATAATGTTAAATATTTTGAAAGTATAATCCCATTAAGATTAACTATATTTTTCGGTATTGCAAGTTATTCATATATGATTCCAACATCACCATTTCATAATGATTTAGTTTTTAGTTATTCATTCTTGGAAATTTGGTTTAATTTCTTACTTTATAATGTTATTAGAGAAGAGAAACATAAAAGAAATCAAAAATTTGAAAAAAAATTGGAAAGTGAATTATTACAAGTTCAACAAGGTAAAAAATCTATTGAAGAAGTTGTTAATAAATTAGAAAGAACTAATGATATTTAATATACTATACATATGCATTCACCATATTTGATACCATTTTTTATGTAATACTTTACTTAATTTTTTGAAAAATTCCATTTCATCCCAACAATTTCTATTATATTCACATCCCATCATATTAACCAAGAAATCTCTTGAACTTTCATTATAGAAAAATTGTTCATCTAGGGCATTATTTGGACATGCCCCCTGGGGTAATGCACTTATTGTCTTTGTTGGTAAAAACCCAACTCTTGATCTAATCCAACCAAATTTATTATAATAATATTCTAATGCATTACGTTCACCATTTTTCCAAATTTCAACATTTTGTAAATAAAAAACTGGGTCAAATAGCAAATCTAATAAAGTTATTGACCAATCTGTCTTTTTGATTAGGAAAGATTGTAAATTAAATCCACCACAATCTTGGGTCAAAATTAAATTTAATGGTTCTTCATAATTTATATATGGAATATCCAAATCTAATGAATTTGGATTAAAATATTGTAAATCTCTATAAACAATTTCATCAATTTTGTTAAAAATTAATTTTTCTAAACTTATTTCAGGTTCCATAATTAATGTATATAGATCAATATACCAAAACCATAAATCATTTTCCGAGAATTGATCAAATGTTTGCTTGATAATATCAAATTTTTGCCAACCTTCTCTAAATTCATTTGAATATTTCTTTGCCTTAGTATAATCTTTAATAATTAAATCATAACCATGTTTTTGAGCATAATGTTTTTTATTCAATATAGAAGATCTTTCAATTGACCATTCATTTGCACCTTTCCATTTATTAACCCCACCTTCAATATTAGCACCAAGTACAATAACAATTTTTTTCTTCTTATCAAATGTTTTTCCAGATAAACCTGATTCAATTTCATAATCTTGATATATTAAACCATCTTTATCTTGGTATTGATCTCTTGCAGTTGGTGGTAATCCACCTTGACGATGATCTTTATGGAACCCTGGATTTCCTGTACCACCCCTAGTGACACCCCATCCTTTAGTACCAGGTCCATCACTTAAGTCAAATAAATAACTTGAATCTTCAGTGAATAAATATGTTTTACATAAGAATATGGTGATGATTGTTATTAAAGTTGATATTATTGGGTTTTTCAACACGAGTTTTTTGATTTTTTGAATAGATTTATCAAATTGTGGCATGGTGATTGGTATGATCTATATGTCCTGATACCTTCAACCAGTATCCCTCTTCAACGTAGCTTATTTCTTTATGTCTTACTGTACAATTTCAAGATCTAATTTCCTTTTAAAATCGCGATGACTTTTTTTTTCCTTCGATTGACAGCTTTTTTTAAGAACGAAAATCTTGATTTTAATGTGAAACAAGATCTTGGTTGTCTAGAATTGAACAAAGGATTGAGAATTTTGTAGAATTGATTGGTTTTTTGGGTTATTTGAGTGTTGTTTAGGTGTAGAATGGTGTTAAGTTCTTTGTTCACTTTAGTTTATTCGATAATTATGGGCATTATATAGGTCTACATGTAACTAATTTGGAAAAAGAATATGATAATTCTCATTCAAATTGATCAATCATGTCTTGAAGACTAATCGAATACAATATTGAAAGTTTTGAATCATCAATTTGTATTGATTAATATAGTTTCTATACTCAAAATCTTGATAAAACTAGCTGGAATTCTATTCATGATCTATTAACTATAGAATCAGGACTAAAAGTGAAATCTATAATATTCAAAAGCCGAACTACACGCTTAAAAACAGTTTTGTCCCTAGAAGTTTAACCAAAAGGTTACCAGACAAATTTAACAACACCAGTAGTCAATATATAGGTATTTAAGAATAACTACCTTCATATACAAGTTTATAAATCCAACGAATGGATATTTAAATTTATGCACAGGTTATTTCCCTAAGCTTTCACGCAATAAACTCAAAAACTTAAGTGTAAAAGTAAAAGCAGAAGTGAATGAACATTGAAAATTTATATACAAAATTTATGAAATTTCGCGATGGCACCGGGTAAATTAAGGTTAAACAATTACGTACGCGACGTCGACGATATTATTATAACATTCAACTTGTTGAATAATTTAGTATTAATATCGTCTTATAACATTGAAATTGAACTCAAGCTTTTGATTTTTGCCTTACATTCACCATTTACAGCAATTTTGCTTTTCCTTATCCTAGTGGGACGAAATTGCACGTTAGAATGGAAGTTTTCCATTGAAATGCTACCCAACTTTGACTAAATCATCAATTATTTATGATGTCTTTGCGTTTTTGCTACACTAGTCATATTCTTATAGAAGAATTACTTCATATGTGATTATTATATGTAATTATAGGTCATTGGAATTTCTAAATGATCCTAAAATTACTGATAATTATTATAATGAATTTGATTTACATTTGTATTTCATCAACAATTTTTTAACCAAATCTTGTATACTTTAATTCTTGGTTATTTAGGTTACTCATTTATAAAGAGGATACTAATACCAGAGTTTTAAGTTGAAGATCTATATTCATTTTACAATAATATACATTTGGATTTATCCATGTGAATATTTAGAGATTCGTAGTCAAGTAATGATTATATATCTGATATATATAGAGGTTGAATATGGTCATAAAGTTAACAAATAACTCTACTTTACAGATCTAATTTACTATGTGGATGTATAACGTCGATGATCAATGAGCCCATGATTATCAATATATTGTTGGATAAATACAAAGTTCAATACGTACTCTACAATTTATATAATTGAAATACCTTAATATCAAAAAAAAAAGAAATGAATCTCATTCAGATTGATCAATCATGTCATGAGGACTAATCGAATACAAAACTGAAAGTTTTGAATCATCACTCTATATTGATCATATAGTTTCTATATCAAAATCCTAATATAAACATGTAGGATTATTGCATAATATATCAACCAAATACTAGCTATGAAGCCATGAACAACAGCATATTGTCGAGCAATAAATACAACACCACGAAACGCTCTTTTCGCTTAAGTTCGGATTGTTAACGAGTGGAGTTTCGGCTTGATAAAAAATAATTATCCATATCCATTTTAATGGTTATTGTACTTCAAAAGTTGTTTATGAATAGTTGATTTCTAGCAAAATCAAAAAAAATTATATA